GTACTTGCTATAAAGGGGTGTTGACATCCTGTAATACAGAAATATGGATGGTTATAAATTGTGCCTTTAATAAGCAGAAATGCTGTTTAAGGGCCTCTGCAAACCTTAGTGGTTACAGAAGCAAGAGATTGTCTTTTTCCCAGTGTTCTAACAGAATTGAGGCCAAATGTGTGAGCTTTCCGTGTTCTTTGCTCCTTGTTGTTTCTCTTGGAAAAGAAGGTAATTTGCTCTATAATTCATTAATGTTGATCTTGTTTAAATTAAACAGTAATACAAGAGAAACTGAATTTTAAAAGTTAAGCCATGTGTTCCTGATAGAGTTGAAGCAATGAAGTTGTGGGAGCCAAGTACATAGGAGGTCTGTGACCACATATTGCTGATTTCTTCAATAAATGCCAGTTTGGTTTGCATTAGATCTGCCATCCAAAATAAGCAAACCAATGACTAACTCAAATTCAGCATGACTTAACTATAAAAGGTGAATCAAACATTTTAAAGATAATATTTGTAGAGCTCCAGTCTGTGAGAGTCTAGGATTGCACAGTTGCACAGATCAGTTAGATCTTAGATAAAAGGTGAATCAAACATTTTAAAGATAATATTTGTAGAGCTCCAATCTGTGAGAGTCTAGGATTGATTTCAGTTGCACAGATCTAAGCTGCAATCAGCGGTACTTAGTGGAGGTAAAGGCAGAGCCGAAATCAAAGCAGCCCTACTGCTACTGTAGGTAGCCAAAGCCAGCTGGAGCAAACCCCAGTGTTGCACATGGAGCTTCTGAACCTGCACAGTCTGATTTTCATCTCCAGAAGGGAGTGCTTCCTCATTCACCTACCAGGCAGTTCCTTGTTGGAAAGAAATAGCTCTTTGTTACTCTGGTCATATAGTATTCTATAAGTGCTTGACCTAGGCCTCTTCAAAGGCCTGTGAACTGGAGCCTGTGAATTTTAACGGACTCTTTAACTCCATTAAACCATTTCTTTGAAAGAAAGTCCCTGGACTCCTAACAGCTAACACTTCCTCCTGCAAGTGTCTTGAACTCTTTTTTTAATGTTATATTCACGTGCCAGAATTGAAAATCCAGTTGCAAAAGCGTCTATCTGTTCTATCCCCAATTACTTGTTCAGCATTAATGACAAGAAGTTGAGTAGGTTTGGAAGACTTTTATTTTCAGGATCTAATCCAGAAATCTGCTATGAAATGCCAATAATATACAAACTGGCACTTGTATTTTCAGATTTTCTGCTGTTCAGCCAGGCCTACCTAAAATAGTGAGAAAAAAAAGACACTTATTTGCATCATAATGAAGTTACTGTTAGGCTAGAGCTTTGGGCAATTACAAAAAAAACCCAAAAAAACAAAACAACAAAAACAAAAACAAAACAAAAAAAAAACACAAAAAAAAAAACAAAAAACAAAAAAAAAAACAAAAAAAACAAAATCAAAAAAAAAACCAAACCCACCCAAAACTGTAAACCCTTTAAAATCTTTAGTCTCTTTAACTTTATTGACTTGTGTTCTTTCAATGGCCTTGTATATTCTGTGGAGTTCTGTGATCATAGAATCACAGAATCACCTGGTTTGAAATGAACCTCAAAGATCGCCTGGTTCCTACTCCTCTTTTGTGAGCTTGGGACACCTTCCACTAGAAGAGGCTCTTCAGAGCCCCATCCAACCTGGCCTTGAAAACCTCCAGGGATGGAGCATACACAACTGCTCCGGGCAACCTGTTTCAGTGCCTCACCACCCTCACAACAAAGGATTTCCTCTTAATATATGATCTAAGCCTGCTCTCATTCAGTTTGAATCCATTCCCCCTTGTCTGTCACTACAGGCTTTTGTATGGCTCTCTTGCAGGCTCCCTTTAGGTACTGGAAGGCTGCAATATTTTTGAGGCTGAACAATCCCAATTTTCTTAACCCATCCTCATGGGATGATCTGGTAAGAACATAGCAGCTCCCCTCAGTGTAATTTTGTTCTCCTTGATTAAATTAGAAATATGTTTTTTCTGCATCTTGTTCTTGCTAAGTAGTAATATGAAGTAGTGATCCTTTCTGTTCCTGCCTGTTGCGGTCTTGCTTCCCTCTTTCTGGCAGGTCCAGTCTGTGACTTGGTTTTCACATGTTACTCAGGGCAGACAGCCTTTGACTTCTCTTTGGTCAGATGTGTTGAAACATTTGCAGCATTAGCTGTTAGTGAAATTGAATGCAGCAGTTGGGTGTGACCTGATTTTTATTTCCACCTGGACAGTCATGCTCCAAGTGAGACCATTATGAAGAAGTACTAAAAAGTGTGGGGCAAGCTCCTAAGTGCAGTAAGTTTCCAGGAGCAGGCTGCCTATAAGCTCAATATCCAAACACAAAACAACAAATTGAACTTCCGAAAATTATGGTTTAAGGCATCTGGACACAGTATGTCAGGTGGCCATTGGGTCTTTGGTGCCAGCTCTTTGACTTCCAGATGTGCTGTTGTTACACTAAACTACTGTCTAGCGTAGACAAAACATTGTTTTAGTCAGGCATGGATCTGTGCCCTGGCATCACAAGGCTGCTATTAGTATAGATGTGTAATAGTATGAATATTGTTTTGATAGCTATTTTTCTGTGTGGATATACCCTTAGGTATGAGAGCCATTTCATCTCCCAGCCATCTCTAGCTCTACCCCATTCAGAGTCATGTACAGTTTATCACCTGGAGTGAGCATATGGTGTATTTGTTTCCATTAATAACCAGATTGGAAGGGAAATGAAATAATGTTTGGGTTTTGGACAGAAAATAAGAATGCTGTTCCAGATGTCTGAAGCTCCCACCTTTTGCTGCTGCTGTGACTTTCTTGCTTGGAGACAGATTTCCTCAAATCTTGTTTATGAGAACACCACTTTATTGGTATTGGTGTTAAAAGGGAAATATCTTGTACTGTTCCCACTCATGTTGCTGAAGTTCAGCACAAACAGGTCGTGTTAAATACTGCGCAGTGCATCATTTGTAATGTTCAGCATTGTGATTTTTGGCTGTCAGATCTGTTACGTAAATCACAGTTTGATTGTCTTCAAGATTGAGCTTTCTGCTACAATCTGAACAACACTGAAGTTTCTTGGTTTTGGAAAACTGAATTTCTTGTTGTGTCGGTCTGGCACGTATGGATGAGAATTCACTAACATCACCAGAGCAACAGAACCACCAAGGACAAACGTTTGGCATGTTTTATGCTGGGAAAGTCTCATTTCAAAATCAAAACATGCATATGCACATACTTTAAATGAAGTGGTAAGTGCTTAAAAGGTGGACTAGAACAAAAAACATGCCATTGTTGCTGTTGCCTCTTCTTCAGTAAAAGTTGCATCAGCCGGGTTTTGGCCAGGGCACAGTTCGTACGTTGGAAATTCTCTTTCCACAGAAAACGTGGAATGATAAGCGAGTCTTCCATTTTTTTTGAGGGACCTGAAGTACAGTAGACCCATTAGGTTCCTCATATTGGCTGGAAACTGTTGTGGCTGCTTTCATCCCTTTATGAGAACCTCTTGTGGTTTGTTTTTCTTCTGAGCCTTTGACTGATCAGTCCCTCTGTTTTCTCATGGATTGAGCTTCCAACTCCATGATTATTCCTTGGTTGTGTTTTCATACACATTATGAAGAACAACTTAGGCAGCAACTGGATGCCCGAGATACAGGAAAGATCTTTGCTTAACCAGGGTGGATAGAAATTAAGTCTGCCTAATATGCCTAGTAAGAAAGTGTCCAAAAAGTCTCTTTTTATGCAAAAGCAGAAAAAAGCTCTTCTGAAGAGAGATCCTGGTAGCACATATTCTGCTGTCTGTTATATTGATGCCTAATATTGTAGGCCATAAAAGAAAGCGTGGGTATTTTAAGCTTCTTCCAGAGTTTATTGCTGAAGGTGAGAGCAATGTTTCTGGTTAAGGTTGTCTTTTCTAATAGGTTCGTAGGCTAACTCTCCATAGGCAAATACAGTGGCCAAACTATGCAAGAGCCTCAAAACTTTAATTTTTATGTCATGATCACAGATCTTACTTGAAAAAGCTTTTTTTTTTTCCTTGGATTTTAAAGATGTTAGAGTTCAGAATATTTGTTGGAGCATTTTTAATTAGCAATTTTTGAAAGAGTTTCAAACATTAAGATAAGCATACAAAGAAAGTGCCAGATAAAATAAAAATTAAATACTGAACAGAATTAGTCATACCTCAAACTTGTGCTGCTTGATTCTGAAAGTTTTTGTTTTAGTACAAGTCCCATTGGGCTCTTCAGAAGAATTTCTGTGTTTTGAACTAGATTTCCTGTTTTTTCACATTTTAAGTTATATTTTAAGTAGTTTTCATAGCTAAATATGTTTCAGGGATAGTAATACAAAGAAAAATGAAGTTTTTAGCCTAATTTTATTTTTCTAATTGGAGAGAAAATAGATGTTTCTCACTTGGAAATTGAAAAGGTAGAGCAGAAGCTAGCTTATTACCAATTTCCATTATATACACAAAATCCCAAATATTCTTGTTTGGAATAAGAAATACCTAATTTTAAAAACATGAACACCTCTGGTCTTCATCAGAACAGTGAGAGAGTTATGGCCATTAAAAAGCTGTAGCAGGTACCTTGCAAGGGAAGTTTCTCTTTCATGAGCTGTAACAGCAAGAACTGAACACTTCTTTTTGTTGATACTTTTAGTTACACGCATTATCTTTAAACAAAAAGACCTAGTGGGTGCTACAACGAGCTGGTTCATCCAATAATAATGAAATGGATCGACTTCAATTCAGTGGAATGGCTAGAGGAGGAAGGTGTTGCCATTCTGCAAGGGAGACTGTCACTCAGAATGGACCAGGAAATGAAGCTTAGATAACTTTGCCTAATCGTTTTATATATGCATATTAGTTTGACCAATAGTTCATCTTCATTAATTAAAACAGACGTGCCAAGCTAGTTTGTTTTACTGCTGTTTCTGAACATAAGGTTATAAGGATTTAAGCTTTAAAAACACGATTTTTTTTTAGGCTAAATCCTTGTTTGGTGACCAGAGCTGCCTATCTTGATGTCCTTGTGATGTTGAGTACTCACCTGGGGAAGTTTCAAAAGCCAGGTAAGTCAATAATACTCTTCTGTACATCAGATTTAATATTTGTATATTTCTGAGCTCTGTTGAACCTGGAGAAACAATAGAATATTACTTGTGCTCAAGGTATCTACTGACTTCTGAAATCCTTTAGCTGCCTTGTACCAGGCCCTTCATTCTGCCCTCTCAGTAGATAGGCCTAGGTTTTGTTGAGGAGAAAACTGAGGTACAGTTCCATGTCAAGGCTTGAAGTGATGATCTTGCAGTATTCCTAGTCCTAGAATGGCTAGCAACAGAAAAGATCCTCTCCATGCTCCAAAATGGTTTTTTAATCCAAAATCCACATCCTGGACTATTGCAACTTTAACCTTTCCAGAAAGCCACAGAAATGTTCTTTCGTGAGACACCTGAAATAGTTTCAGGGAAAGTGTTTTATAATGTTTAGAAATTTTATAAAAAACAGTTCTGAGAGCTTCTTTCAGTTTCTTTTTCCATTTTGATTCTTTATCAGTGGGAATTTTTTGAAGGACTGGTGAGAACTATCAGTGGTTTTAATGTAGATTACAGTTAGCAACAGTACAAAACAAGCTGTGAACAATAAGAAAAACAAAGATATGGAGGAAGGGACATCCTTTCACGTGTGCCAGTGTGTAGGCAGCTTTCAGTCAGCTGTAAGTAGCTTCCTTGTGGGACTGTTTTGTTCATTTCTTATGAACAAGTGAGTAATAAATTACCTTGTCAGTCCAGGAAAGCAATTAATGAATAGTTCTGTCATTTCATTAAAATTTTTAACACTGCATTTAAGTCACTGGAACCGTTCTTTATTTCAGAGAGTCGTGTTGTGGGCACTGTTAATTTTAAATCAAATTCCTTTTGCTTTTTTTTTCCTAGACCTTTAGCTGTAGTTCCATTCTAATTCTAAAATTCCTATTGGTGTGATTTCTTGTGAATGTACAGTTCAAATAGGGATAATTGTCAGGAAAGCAAATTGGTGATGAACATGTCTGAAGTTAACTTCTTGGTTGATGCAGAGCTAGCCCTTACAACAGAAGGACAGACATACAGAGTGACTGGGCAAGGGCCACATGCTTTATAGGGTGGAATGTACCACCTTATGTAAAGCAGTTTCAGTATAATGTGTCTCTTGGGATAATTTTTTTTCCTGGCTTATTACTGGTTTTTCTGGGGCTAAGCTATCTCTACCAACAATAATTCTTATATTAAAAAATATATGTTCTTATTTTTTTTTATTACTACAGAATAAAGCTTTTTAAATCTTCATATGCCATTGGCCTTAATGATAATCCTTTGCAGTACATTAATAAGTCTAGCTGTGTATTACAACTACAAAATAAACAAAAACAACCCCCAGAACCTCCTTCAACCATATTTGGGCTCATCACCCTTTTACTATGAATACTACTTTTTAAAAGAGAGATCCTTTTGAGAATATTAATTTTTCCACTTTTTAAAACATGATCCTCTACCACTGTTCAGCTCCTTTTTAGTATGAATCATCCTGGTTTTTCTGTATTCTCTTTTCTGAAGTTTTTTTTTCTCTGTTCTGAAGTTTTTTTTTCATCTTCTGATTATTCTTGTCACTCGCCCTTCAGCTCTATTTTTGTATTTTCTTTTAGGAAGGAACAGCCAGTACTCCAGGGGAGGGCTCCTCGTTTTGCTTACTTAGTGGGCATTGCATTTCCTTTATTTTCCTCTTTCCTATTTCAGTTATGGTAGGGTTTTTTTTGTCTGTTCTGGTTTTTAAACAATTGCTGCACATTTGCAAAGGCTTTTATGGACCTCTCCACACCAGGAAACTCCCTTCCTTTTTTTAATGCCCCTGACTTGTGAATAACCCTTTGAGCCTGAGGGACTGCACCATGCTGTGGCTGGATTACCAACTGTAGTGAATTCATTTATTTTTCAAAGCTCATGTGGACTGTACCAAACCTGGGTGCTGTAAGGCACAATTTCTGCAGAAGGGAAGCAATTACTTTTGCAGATTCTTTCTGCTCTGGTATAGTTCATTCGTATTGTTTTGCTTAAAAGTTTCATTCCTACATAGGTTTAAAATTACATATTTCAGGCAGTGTCTACAGAGAGTAAAAACTTAAGCTGGAAGAACTGTTTTGAAAACCTAAAGATACATTTGGGACAATTTTATGTATCACAGGCAAGAAGCCCTTCTGAAAGGAAGGAGTTATGTGTTTGTATTAAATAGAAACTGAGTGTCCCATGACACAGTAAGAGAAAGACTAAACTCACCAGTTAAAACTGAATGTTTTGAGTCTCCCATTTAAATGTTTTAAAGATATGATTATTAATTGAAGCATTATACTTTTCTGAGATTAAATATCTTACTCATGTATGCATATCTCTGGTTATGAGCCAATTTTTCTCTGTTCTAATCTTGATTTGTAAAGTTGTTTCAATGAATAAAGGGTGAGGGACAAATCCAAATAAAACTGTTTCTTGATGTGTTTATCTAAGAGGCCCCAGGAAGTGCTGTATATGAGTTCCAGGCCACAGGCTGAAACTGATTTTCATCAACAGAAACGGGAATGCAATGTAATGAGCCTGCAACTGGTTAAAATCAGACCACTTCTAATTGATTATGCCTGTTTAAAGAGGCTACAATTACAAAGAGGTTTTCAGAGAACAGCTCTGCCTAGGCCTTTCCTACATTATGATTATTTTCTGTAAGTGATTTGTTGTTTTCAATTAATAAAATCTGTCTCTTAATGTGTAGGATAGCCCTTAGAGAATTTCCTTCACAAATTCAAAAAACATCGGCTTTAAAATGTTGGCTAAGGAAGGCAGGGAGTAATGGATACCAAAAGCATCTTGTCCAGCTAAAAATTTACTGCTGGTTAAATGATGATTATTTAACTTAAACAAAACAACCCAAACCCCATAGGTACTCCTATTTGCTGGACTGGATGGAAGTGTTGACTTATTCATGTCACTGGGAAAACACAGTTTTCTTTCCTTGAAGTGATAGGCAAAATCTAGAACTCTTTTCTCAGCTGCTGATGTGTCTGAGGGCTGAGCAGATATACTGAGACAATACATATAGCCAAGACTGTATAAACTCAAAAATATTTTTATTCTGTTATCAGTTGTGGTTGGAAGCAAGCCTTAAACAAAAGAAAAAAGTTAAAATGTACTGTTTTTATCTTTATTGAGAGTAAAGAAAGTTGTTACCAGGTATAGGATTATTTGATGAGCTAGTGTCTATTGTCACTATAAATAGTTATTAGTAGTGTCCAGGGAATTTATTCTTGCAGACCTCTTTGACATATTTTCTCCACAGTAACTGTTTTTGTAGATCAGAAATCACAAATGTCTAGGGTCTTTCCATTCTCATGGGAGAACAATGCAGTCCTCCTGCAGAGGATATTCTGGAACTTCTACCCTGCTTCAAATATTACAGAGGAGTAAAGTAACATTTGTAGGCATATTGGGGTGGGAAAAATGACAAAATGACCTCTAGACCAGGTGAGAACATGTTCAGCCTTAGCTGTGTATATGATTATTTGAAAATTCACAAGTTTTGATCAGGAGTTAAAGCAGAGGTCTGTAGAGCTCCAGATTCATGTGTGCATCTGAGTTTACATGTTTTCCTGTGCACTCTGAGATGGGCTTTGCAAGAGATGGAATACAGGACTCTGGTGTGATACACTGTTTCACTAAATAAGATTCCTCTGTTGAATAGATGAATTTCTGAGAGGATCTGTCATAGACATTCCTGCCTTCAGATCTTCTGGAAATTGGTGTTTGAAGCACAACAAGAAGATGAGAGTATTACTGTGATCTGCAGTGCTGCTAATGCAGGAGCCAGAATGTTGAATTGCAGCAAAAGCTCAGATCTGGGATGCTCTGTCTCTCTGTAACAGATGAAAAATGCCACAAGACAGAGTGGCCACATTCTCCTTCTTGCTCACATCTTGAAAAAGTTTCCTTGTAGCATTTTGTCTTTTCATGAGGGGAAAAGTGGATGCAACCCTCTGTAATGTACTTGATTAATAGAAATGCATTTTGGCCAGGGTTGTGTTCGAAAAAACGGTGCTTGTTGATAGAGCTCTGTCAATGTAAGTGAAGTAGGATGTAGAACAGAAGAGGGAAAAGACGGAAGAAAATTTTGCTAAGGATAATCTTGCCAGTTTGTTGCTTTATCCTGTATATATGCTGTCAGTCTGGTTTGGCCTGTCGTCAAGTATAGTGTCTTCAAAATTCAAGTTTGGTGGGAAAGAGAAAACATTTAAACAGGACGTCAAATAGGTTGAATCTGTGATTTAGGAAAAGATGCCATTTGTAGTCCAACTAAGCATTTTTCCTTTCTCCATTTGTGGTGGAAGAATTTTTAAAAGTTCTTGAAATTTACCAAACTCCAGTGTTGTAGTTAACCATGGGAACAGTTACTTAGTATTTACATGATTAATCCTGTTCACAGAGAGATTGTTTTGATACCAAAATGGAGTAGCCAGTATTCTACTCTAGCTTATTCTGTTTCCTTGAGTTTTGCAAAAACATAATTCCATTTTCTTGCTTTCTTCCAAATACCTAAACCTTCTGTAGATGTAGGTTAAGATTCTTAAATTCTGCTCATGAACTAAAGAAATGGTTGCAAAAAATACTGTGCACTATACATGTGTGTGTATGTGATGAGAAACATGAGGTATTATTTCAACTGTCTGCTGGTTTTGTCCTCAAATACAATGAAATACTTTCTAAAATAACATACAGTGCAAATACCATTCCCTTGGTTATATTTGTCCTTTTTAATTTGAAGTTATAAAATGCATTGATAGAAATAATATGGATTATCAAACTTATGGATGCTTTGCAGTGCTTTGCAATGCAAGCACAAATTGCTCTTTACATAGGAATCTCTTAAATGTTTGCCTGAATTACGTGATTTGTAGGTCTTTTAAATAGCATTCGAAGGTTCTGGCCACTTCGTTTTCTGTATCATAGTTCCTAATATTTTCTTATTTTGGAAAGAAGCTAGGTGGCAGCCAGGTTTT